GGTCAGTTCTTTGATAAAGAAATAGGGCCCAGAGGTCTCTAATAACTTCCTGTTAAAGAGCCTCAAATTCTGTCCCTAAATCACGAGCTTTGCAGTGGCTGATTTCGCCCGATGCCGAGCTCCTGATATATGTCCTCCGGCTGGATCAGTACCTAGTCTTTGTTGATAACAAACAAGTTATAATTTCACACCTACGCTATGAGTGATGGAACCTCTGATCGAATCGTCCTGTCCTCCCTATTCCACTACAGTTTTCCGACGGGCAGTTTCCAATTAACGAATATTCTTTTCGAGTCCTAGACCTACAAGGATATGAGGAAATAGCATTAGTTAGATGACAAACAAGACTAGAGCATTTTCATACGCCTGCGGACCGATGTATGGTAGAGCGTGCCATATCCTCAGAGGTTCTTCCGTTGGGGCCCTTTGGGGCCGTACGCGAAGGCAGCGGCTTATAAATGCTTTCGGGTAACCATTCCGCATGAACTAATTGCGGAGGTATCGGGCCTGGTGTACCTGTCGGTGGACTCTCGCTCCCCCTCCCTCTCCCTCTCTTCTTCCTCCCTCTAACTTCCTCCACCCTATGACGTTCGATTGGCTCCTACCACCTATAACTGTCGCTTGCTTTTCGTGGACGCTTTTATCTCTGACGATGGACTCTCACAAGGGCCCGAAAGCTTAGAATAATAAACAACTTGATCCAGTGCTCGACCTTCCTTCTTCCTCAAGCATTTAGATCTATATTATTTAAAGTAGTACCTCGGTCCGCATGGCCAGCTATTTTCGCCTATTGTTGGAGATTTAAATGTAAAATATTGGATGTTGAACGCCTGTCATCGTGCAGCAAAAAATCACCTACTTTACTAAAGCTCTTCTTGGCAATTGACACTGATTCCATCATCACCCACGGATATCGCGCTTCCAAATGTGAAAAAGGGGACCGCATTCTTATGCTATGATCTTACCCCGAAGTTATTTTGTTTCTCTTCCCAAATAAATTCTCTTCTTTTCGAGCAAATGTTCAATAATCTGGTCATAATACATTAACTTTGGTTCGTCAGCTATTCCTATTCCGTGAAATCCGACTCAATGCTCCCTGCATTTTTGTTCGAGTAGATAACCACCAAGTGGTGTTTGCAAGCAAACGCATCAAGCTTCATTTAACGGTCAGCACGTCATAGTGTCGACAGTGCATTTTTTGATATTGTACAGGGCAGTCGGCATGTCAAGCACTATATACCCGCACCCCGTAGCGCTGTCACCGGTAGCGACTGTTTCCTTTCATTGTCTGGTACCGTTATAGAAAGAAATTTGAAATATGCCCACTTAAATTCCTAACTCGTTTCTTTTTTAATCTTAAATTAGACGAATTATTGACATTACTGGCAAATAGGCTTGATTATCTTGCACTTTGTACTTGTTATATTGTACCAAATGTCTGTTAGTTTGTTAGTAAAATTTACATAACACAATCAAAGTGTGACATTTGATCTACTCATACGCATGTTTTGTTGGTAGTTGGGCAAACCCAGGCTGGCAAAAATTGGCACAATTTGTAAGTATTAAGTACAAGAATTTTTACTTTAAGAAGACTTTTCAGCAATGATTCCTGTCAGGAGACGTTCTTCGTCAATTATATCTAACGTCAATGTTGAAAAAGTAGAGGACGATATTTTGTGCTCAGGAAGCGCCAAAATTTTTGCAGAACTGTATGTTAATTATATTTTATTTTTTCAGAAATTTTGGACTTGAATTTGTGCACGCTGTACGTCTCTCTTTGGATGAGACTCTGTGGTTTGTTGGGCTATCAAAGGGATCCATCCAGGTATACATCTTGACTGATATCCCATAATTTAGGTGTTTTCAAACTCGGCTGAAAAAATAGATTTGATGGCCATACTTATACCAACAGAGGAAACTTTACCATGCACTGACATTCAGTGTTTACTTGTCGAGCCTCCGGGAAACGGGGAGAAAGTTCATATCGTGTTAGCTGTGTGTAAGTCTACCATCAGATTTCACGATCTGTCTCCTGATTTTTGAACAGGAATTGTTTGCTTATTTCTGAACGCTCGATGTGTAGTGATATCATTTATTAATACGCGCCCAGATACGTGTATTTCAATTTACCTGCTTATACTAAATTAATTCGGGAGACCTACAAAGATCGAGTATCGTCCGTCCATTTTAGAAGACCCATTTCCACATGCTTTAACTTTTGTCTTTCTTTAAAACTTGATAGGCATGCATCATAAAGCCGGTTTTATAACTACGAAAAAAATTTAAAAATGGCTTTGTGATCACCGATTTCTGGGAAGGCAGGGGTCATGGCAATGCGAACTTTTCTGTCAATGGATAAAATTGTCAGGTCTATATAAGAAACAGGTTGATGTTCTCCATATTTTGCTGAATAATTTACGAGCTGGTTCAGATTATCATGTTCTATAAACACAAAGGACATTGATTCCATTTATTTTTCCTACTCGTTTATTATTAAACCTCCCTCTCCCCAGTAGAGTAACGTTTCCTTACAACGGAGCACCATTATATCTAGTATCGCTTAAGTTGCGGACTCTTATGCTCGTGCATGTAATAAAATAAGATAGACTTTGTGTGCCGCCTGATAAAATAAGTTTGAGAAATTCAGGTTAAATGAGATGCACTAGAGTTAAGAGCGTGCTCAATAAACGCAGTAACTCTCACACCGACCACTTTGTCTGGTCTCTCTGGATATTCTGAAACCAGCAATGGAGAATTTAGGTCATTAAAATCATCACCGATTCATGCAGTATCGAAGCGTTCTACGAGGAGAAAAAATACTCAGTCTTTTTATAATCCGCAAAGGTAGTTCGGGATTACAAGCGATTGAGAGAGTTTGACGTGTCTGGTAGACATCCAATACTTTTTTTAAACTCCAACAGGTTTTATAACCGGCGAAATTACCTTAATTTCGTCAATTTAACATTTTTTAATACAGTCCATTTCCTATTGATTTGTGATTTTATTCTTTACTTTCGAACATTTTATTACCTTATGAACTATAGATGCTTCCGGTTTCGTCAGAATCTGGCAATATACATCGAAGAGTGGCAAGAAGAACCTACTCTGCGAATGGCAAGAAACAAGATGGCGTCCTGAAATATGTCCTGAAGATCATATAACAGAAGGTGGAAGTGAATTTAATCAAATTCTTGCAAGTTCTTGTTCTTTGGATGGTCAAAGATTTATCACAGCTGGAACTGACACTAATATTCGCGTGTATGAGATTTCGTCGCGAAATTTATTGGGAAACTGCCGATCCTCGTAAGTTAAATTAATTATTTGGGAATGATTTGGCCGACTGCCCAAAAATTAAGTTACGCTCAACGTAATAGCGCATGGACGATAATATTCTATTTTGCATTTTATTTTAGCTTCGATGTCCCGTAAAACCTTCGTAGTGGTGGCCTGATGGTTTGTAAAATGTGCTGAAATCAAACTTAACTTTTATCATGGACAATTTCTGCTTTTCAATGTAAATAAGGGTATTTTGCGGAAATATTGTACGCTCATGATAACCCAAACCTTTTTAATAGTTCAGGTGTTCGTTAAAAGCGCCGGAAGCCATCGTCGCTAAACAAGATGAACAAAAAATATGTAGTTAGGGCCCCTTAATGTTTTACACCTGTTTCGTTTCGTTTTAATCTTTGACAGCAACAAATTAAGACTTACCTGATTGACTTCAGTTGGCTGCTCCCTAAATTACTGGACATATTCACCAATCTCTTTATGTATTTAAAGCTATCTCCATGGGAGGATGGATGGACACGTTCGACGGATAACGGCGCTCAAGTATCATCCTCGTGGAGTTGCTTCCCCATTCTATGCCCATCTTTTTATATCCGGGGGCTGGGATGATTCTATTCAGATCTGGGATGACCGATATGAACATTCTATTTGGTATTGTTACAAGCAGTATATTCACAGTATTATTCTAACGTTTCAAATTTTTTATGCCGTTTAAGTCCAATTACTTCAACTTTTTTGTGGTTATCCCAAATTATTTAAGATGCTGTCTAAACCAGAAGCGTCAACAAACACTAACACATAGCTCAGCACCATGCATTTACTTAACCCCTAGTTGTTGGTCTATTGTGAACTCAGGTATGAATTCTGAACATCATATGAACGTATTCATATTGCCTCGCACCAAACTGTCTATTTCTGACATCTTTTCTTGTAATATATCAAGGAATTGGGTTTAGTAAACTTAATGTCAAAATGAGGAACTGTGACTATTCTGCTATATCATCTGAAAAATTGCATTTTCAACTGATTACTTTAGTATTTTCTCAAGTTTAGATCAAGGTTTGCTACTTAATTTTAAACCTTCCGTAAATAAGCAAAATACTGTTGGTTGTATTTAGCAGATTCCATGCGTTTTATTTTTTACTGCTGAATTTCTCCTTGACTTTTAAAAGACATCGCGATATTTACCACAGCGAGAAGTTATTAAGTGTTACATTTTTAATACCTCCTGTAGGGTTTTACATTACGTCTGCCTCCACAACAGTATTTTCAGACAGTTATATATTAGTTAATTTTATTATTTGCTGCTAGGGTTAAGATGTTATTGATGAAGTGAATCTGAATGAACTGCACTGAATACTGATAATTCCTTATAGAGTTGTTTAGAATTAAACTACACGAACTGAAAGGAAAGTAACTAAATATTTGTTAGTTAAGGAACTTGACTCCCATTAAAGACTCGGAAGCGGATAGAAACGTGAACGAACAGTTAATGCATAGCTGATGGTTGGAATATGGCCTCGCAATTTCTGCCATATCAATTGTTGACAATTGACTGACGTGTAATCTGAGGAAAGAGTTTTCCAAAGAAATCGTGATGTATTCTTCTCCTACCACCCAAATGTTCTTACCTCCTGAATATTTACTCTTCGCATATATATCCTAAGGCTCCCACGAAACGGCTCATGTCAGAGCTTGTGACCCAGTCAAGCTCTAACCACATACGGCACCATGTGAGCCCCCTACATTCAATGCGCCTGGATTCATTTGCAATGGGCTTGACTACGCCTTGCCAACGATTACTGTTTGATAAATGTCCACACAATCTTTTCTCACCATAGTGAATATGAAAAGTGTTTAGCCTGTCACAACACGCGACAAGTTATGCGTGGAAGTTTGCAATCCGGTGGGTAACTAGGGACGTGAAATTAGGTTGAACTGGCTCCCAGTAGCCGCTCTTCTCCGAGTGACCGAAACCAGGTTCGCGCAGGCTAAGACAAAATCATGCAGCCTGATCAGTCTCCAGTCATCTTGGTGTGTACTTGCTCTCTAAACGAGATGAATGTCAGAAGGCAGATTGAGATAGCTTTTGCAAAAGGCCGTTTCACGGGAAGCCGACGCAGGCGCAATTACCCGCTGCTTTTCTATATTTGGCGTTGATTGTGATTTAAGCCAGCGAACAAACTAGCGTATGCACAATTAACCACGCATAGACCGCCTTCAGCAGTTCTGTCTGGATCGGCTAGCGTGCCCCCAAAATATACGTCTATCCCAGTCTGACGGCGGGTCTTTCCCCGCATTTACGGAGAATAAGCAGAACTGCTGCAAGACCTGCTCAAATTGAACACGTGTGTTTGGTTTGCTCCACGCATAACGCACATCATTTGAAAAACTGGTCAGTCAATCGGGACGTTAAAGGCGGGTAAGTCAAAGTAGCTGAGAGCGATGTTGAGGTACGTTTACCGACCACTAACGGAACTCAGAGGTCCTTTTTCGAATCCTGAAAGCAGCCGTAGTGGTTAATAATATAGGCAGATATTAGTGCTGGCAAAGACAAGGGAGACTGGAATGACCCTCTCTGGTTTATTAGCCCTCGTCAGACGGTCATAACGGCAATACTATCTGCTTAAATTACTAGCCGCTACGGCTGCTGCCGGGGCCCAAGGAATGTAACCGATAGCAAGACAACGAGCTCGTACTTGTATGGTTAGAGTGCTAGACTCTGACAAAAAAAACGTCGCGATTTCGAGCCTCGGATTGTGCACCATCTGTGGTTGTGCTATGACTGGCTGACGATGGCTAATATAACCATGGCAATGGCCATCCCAGTCTCATTTCTTTGCCGGCAATACTATCTGTCTATACTGATAATCAAGTGCTTGATTGAACCCAAAACCACTGCGATGCAACGCTTGGAACGCTATGAAGCAGGGGAAAATTATAGCATATTCCGCCTACCGGTATTTCGCCGATAAACATGATGTCAGCCTATGAGATGTCGCTGAAACGTGCACGTTTTAATGTGTTGGCATACCCCTATCGTTAAAGCAGCCAAAGTGCACATACTCCCAATATTGTCAATTATTTCAGGGTTAGTTTTCTGGCTTGCATATGTCAACCCCGCAAGATTTCGAAGGTCCTCATATCAGCCTATTCCCATGGCCACTTTGACTTTTTTCAAAAGAAGCACTTTTAGGATGGCCTCCAACGGACACTTTCCAAAATACTGAAAACGCAACTGCTTTCCTAACCCAGACTCGTCATTATGAAGGCCTGAGTTTATCTCATATTTTGTGAGTAGCAGATAGAGATGACTTGGAGCTCGGCTATATTGACAAAGTTTATCTTCCCAATATACAATGAATATTCAATATTCGTTTTTCATTTTTGTATGAAAAATTCTCTGAAAAAAGGCTTCTTAGTAATCACAGAAATCACCTGATTTCTGAGGTTTTTGCGCGCCTCTTTGCGTGTCATATTTTACCTGTCATATTTTGCAGTACGAGCCTCCATATTCGATTGTCTATTCCTGATAGAAGCAAACAGGCAAGTTCCAGCAAGCAGTTCAGCAGAGAAAGATACGATCGCTGGAACAGGACGTTTGTCTGGTGTTTCGGGATCTTTCTCGAACCCTTTATCAGAGATAGTTGCAGAAAAGGCTTAGATAGCACGTTTGGTTGTCTGGCAACCGCGCTCTTTGAAAATTGTGCAACTTGTACCTCATATTATCCCTTTTTGCAACTGTCTCTAATGATGGGTTCAAGAAAGATCCCAAAACTTCAGGCCAATAAACTCTGTGCCCCAGTTATTGTACCGTCCTCTGTATGCTCTTGCCCTGTTAACATTTGAAGCTGATTAATCAACCAAAGAACGCTGTGATACACAAATCAAGATAGTATTGGCGGAAACGGAAATGCCAATTTCTGGCTCATTAGCCGTCGTCAGCCCGTCATACCCAGAGTCAAGTGGTGTTCCATCCGAGCCTCGAACTCGCGACCTTTTCGATCAGAGTCAAATAGCCTTATCCTTAAGCCACGGGCTCATTGTCTCGCCAGTTCAAGTCAAGGGATATTGACACTCATTGTTGAAGTTTACTCCGGCCACTAACAGGACTCATCTGTCCCGCGAGACGCATCTCTCAACAGTAAGACAATTAACTCGTGGCTCAAGGGTTAGGGCATTTGACTCTGATCAACAGGGTCGGGACTTCGAGGCCGGGGTGTCACATCGCTTGAGTCTGGGTATGAGTGGCTGACGGCG